TATTTAAGTACTGCTTTAAAAATACTTTTAAGGTGATATTATAAATATTGAGCATAGTTAAGAAAATAACCAGGTTTACTAAATTCAAAGAAACATAATAAAAAAATAAATTATCCTCTAAACTACATTTTCTCTTTCGTTTTTAACTGTTTTCCCCTTATCTACTGAAATCTATCAATTGAATTTTAAAAGAGAACATGAATGAGCTCCCTGCCTGGTAATGATGAGGTAGCTTATTGAAAATAAACTCCTATTGAAAAACAATGAAACACAATGGAAAGTATATTTTAAATGATATAAAAACTCATTGGACAGGGTATCTAGCATGCAGTAAAAAATAGCATCACTCAACAAGCCAGGCCTAGAAAGACAAGTATCTTTGATCTCTCTCATTTTTAAAATCTAAAAAAGTTGATCCCATAGAATCCAAAAATAGAATGAGGGTTATCAGAGGTTGGTGAGAGGAGGGAGGTATGGGGAAAGGTTGACCAATGGGTGATGAGTTATGGTGAGATAAGGACAAGAATAATGTAGCATATATTCCAAAAGTAAGCAGAAAATGTTTCGAAACTTTTCACCATAAGAAATGCTAAAGTTCAAAGAGATAAATATCATCTAAACACTACCCAAAATATACATGTATTAAAACATCATATTAATTAATAGGTTCACTTTTATATTTTTAGGTATCAATGAAACCATATTTAACATAAATCAAAACAATAAAAAATGACATATTCCAAAAAGCAAGGCCACATGAGCAATGAGAAATGCACATGAGAAAGGAGAAATGCAGAAAGCAGAATGAGGCAAACTGATGCTTGAAATAGTAGAAATGTCCAAGATGAATTTAAAAATGACTAAGCATACTGTGTTTGAAAAAGTAAACAGCAACCTGACAATATTTACGGGGCTATACAAAATAAACAGAAAGGAATTTGGAAAGGACAAAATAAGACTAGAGTCATGATAACTACAATAAAATAAATTAAAAGCACTGTTGAAAGGGTTTAAAAGTAAAATTGACAGAGCAGAAATTTGAATTAATATAATAGATGTAGATCAGAAGGTATTGTTTTGATAAAGCACAGGGAGAAACAAAACATAAAATTTAAGGCAACGAATTTGGTTTGGGACAATAGAATGACTCCAAGAAGGAAAACAGGAGAGAGAACTGCACAGAGGCAATATGCATGTAGAGAATGACTGAGGATTCTTCAAAGCTGATAATAAGTCATTCCAGAGATTCAGCCCCAAGGAAGAAAAATTAAACAGAAATTCAAATATCTGTGAGGACTGATTCAAAAATCATGGCATTTTAAAGCAATTAATGACTTAACCTCCAAAGATATTCATTAAAGTACTTTATAAAGCATGAATTCCAGGCAGGGAAGATGTGATTGTTCATAAAATTGCCATGATATTTTATCAACCAAACAATAGCAAGGAAAATATTACAAAAATGGATAAT